GTAGACGTAACTTGACTTTCGGACATAAAATCCTACAAAAATAGAAAAAGTGGAGAAGCAGTTGGAGAGCGATAAAGATCTTGATTGTATAATTTTTACTATTGCTTTAAACTAAATAATTAATAATATCATAGCACTATTAATTTTTGGATGATTACCCCAAATAGCTTCTCTCAAGTCGAACTTTGTCCATCAGGAGTCTCTGAATCCTGTTACAAAGAAAAATATCATTAAATAAACATTAATTTTTGAAGGTAACATACTGATAGACAACTTAATTTAGTTGTCGTTAATGTATTTGGAGTTTGCTAATTACACTGAATGTGTCTTGGACTGAAGAGTGGCAGTATTCCTTTAGGATATCGTAATCATCAGTTATCTTCAAAACAGTGTAGACTGGGTCCTTTTTCTCAATACTAGAGGGCTTAACAATAACCCTACACATGAATCCTTTATAAAAAATATCATCCAATTCACTTGGATAAGAACGGTCGTCATCCAAAACAGAAGGCTACACTAAATTTCATAGGTTAGAAAAGTATAATTGACAACTAAATTAAGTTGATTATTATACCTCAAGTAATCCTTGCTTCAATTCTTTTGCGGACTTTCCTATAATCTGCATAGCTTCGCGATTCCAAAGCAATGATGATATAAAAGCAGTTCCATCAATAACACAAACTTGAAGTGGGTATACTGCGAGTCCATTTTTTTTAATCTTGTGCATTTTCTTTTTATATATTTTAAAATCGTATGATATGAAAGTTACCTGTGACCAACAGAACATTGTTCTTCATTGCATTTGTTACAAAAAAATTTGTTCCCAATTTTGTCAACCTTTTTAGTGCACTTGTTGCATTCCAAGTATGACCATCCTCGTTCAAGTTCCAAATTCACCACTTTTGTAGCAATCTAGTAAGTACATTCCTATTTAAGAAAAAAATATTGTTGTAAATTAAACTGGGAAAACATAAAGTAAATATGACTTGACTACTAAATTGAACTCACTTTTGTACACTGAACTAAATCCGTAATAGTTTTAAGCAATACAATTCCTATGGCTAACTCATCTTTGACAGAGTAACTTTGTTGAGAGCTTGTTTGAGTAATCCTCTCATTATTAGATTGACATGTTGCAACTAATCTGCATAAGTCACAACGTGGTAAAAGTGATAAATCTTAGTAACATTATGTAAGCACACAGAATAAAAAAATTGCATCCTTTACAAACCTAGATTTAAACTCAACATAATGCGGTAGAGTAGAATTGATCCAAAGTTTTGTAGAGTATCAACAACTACGCACTGAGTAGTTACTTGTAGATAAGATAAATGAAAAATTAGAAATTATAATTTATTTATTTTTGAAACTAAATTTTAAATATAGATGTAAAGTTGGTAAACCTCAGAATTTTTGAAGTTTCATAAATTGTAAAACAACAATCAAAGGTTCGTCTATAGCTCCATTCAAGTGAGGCTGAATTTGATCCACAAGTTCACTCCATAAGGTTGCCGTAATCCTGTTCCTCCTATAAGTTTCAAGGTAATCGGTCATCAATAAAATAATATAAATAATTAAACTGTAAAAGTATAGTTTGTATCAGTGAATAACGTACTGATCATCTTCGAGTGTAACATTAAGAAAGACACTTTTGTTATCTCCTTGCTTGTGGGTCTTAACGTTTTCATACGTCACAACCTAACCGATGACATCTACAAATATAAAAGTTAGTTAGGTAATTTTTTAAAATATGGTAATAATGGAAGAGCAGAATTACCGATTAATTCTGCCTCATCGACATCATTCTGATTTGTTAGCTGATCAAAATGACGAAAGTTAAAATATATTCATATGAAATGAAGAATCAATTATTTCCTCGACCGTTGTCCTTTGTGTAAATGTAAGTCGCAGATTGTGTGTCGTATTCTTTATATTCAAGTTGTTTGGTCCGGCAACAAAGTAGTTCATGCTATATAAGCCGAGTTCCTGTATCTTGGTCTGAAAAAACTTAATTACATACTTCCCAATCGAGGCCTGGATACGATCACCCTAAAAAAATAGATTCATTATTAGGATGTATCATATTGCTAATAAATTGCTTATATGTAGAAACAGAAACATAAATATTTATACTGCACATAATTGTTTCATATATGAATCGAGTGTTGAGAACTTGAATTACAGCACATAATCGTATCATAATCGTTTTATTGAGAACTTGAATTAATGTCATTTTTGTTAAACACTCGATAAATACAATTGTGAATACAACGTTAATAGAAATAGAGTACTGGTACTACATATAATTTTTCACAATCACTTCTTTGTATTGTGAAAAATTTATCCATAAAACCAGAAAAGAAGAAAAAAACTTTAGAACTATGTGAAGTTGAATATGTTACATATTTGCATCTTGTAAAATCAACTCAATCGAATATGGTTTTTCAGGATTGAAACGATCCGGCATTTCCCACATTCGAACTTCTCTAACTTTGAGATTCCATTGCATCGAGTTGCTTGAAATTTGATTGATTTCATGAAGTGTTGTAGCCATATTTGCAAACTTTTGTATTCTGAGCAGAGGAAAAAATGGGAGTAGAGAATAGAAAAGAAAATAGAACAGGGAGCAGGCGTTTGAGACAATATTAGTGTAGGAGACAGTTTCTAAGTTATGAAGTTAGATTTTGATGCTCACGTTTGGGAAGAGGATCGTGGAGTATTTTTTTTCCCTTTCTTCCTATTAAAATTATTTGTAACGAATTTTTTTAGTTGAATATTCAGGTATATAATAAATTTAATAAATAACTAATGAAGAAACGTGGGAGTCCAAAAATTTGAATTAGATGATCGTGATGAAGAAACATGGGAGTCCAAAAAACGTGGGAGTGATGAATAGATACACAAACGTGGGTCTCTTGATGGAAATAACTGAAACATATTAATACTTTAGCCAAGAAATAACTGAAACAAACGTGGGACTCCTAATGCTTTATCCAAGTTGCAAATTAACGTGGGACTCTTAATGCTTTATCCAAGCTGCAAATTAACGTGGGACTATTAAGTGAATTAACTGAAACATATTAATGCTTTAAAAGCTGTAAATTAATTTTTTTATTTTATAGATTTTTTGAATCTCCATGATTATTGGAGTGTTGTCTTAATTTTTGACACGTGTCGAGACCACGGTTTGACACTTGGCACAATATAATGGATTTGCCTCTGCTTTTCTATATTAATAGATAGATTCTACTTTCATAACTTCACCAGAAACAAAAATCTATCTTTCCTCTTCCGCTTCCAAGACTTTTGCAAGCATTGTGAATTCTGTAAGTTTTTTACCCTTTCTACTCTCTTTTTTTTGGGTTTATTTGGGAATAAATGCTAATTTTAGATAATTATTTTTCTTTTGCATGTTTGGATAATAGTAGATTAGCTCTCAATTGGTTGTTTTTTGAACCGATTGTGCGAAGAAGAAGACGACCTAGGGTTCGTCGAGTTCATGAGTGTTTGAACAAATTGATTTCGGAATTCTGTTCGAGCTGTTGTCGGGAGTTTGTGGCTAGAGTTTGGGTCCAGTAGAAGATGTTTTGAGTGAGGTTTACCAGAAGAATTTGAGTCGAGCTTGAATCAGTCGAAGAACACTTGTTTCGATTGAAGAACTTCTCGAACTGATTCGAGTCGATTCGAGCAGCTGGTAAATCGAAGAACAACATTTGTAGAGCTGATTCGAATTTCTTGTAGGTTGAAGTATTTTTGGAGTCAATTCTCTCAAGAAGACGAAGAACAGCTGCCACTGATTTGCAACTAAAAAATTGCAGCTGAGTTCTCCATTTTCTAGGACTCGTTTGCAACTGAATTATCGCCACGAACTTCAATTCATTCATCGCAACGATTCAGGTTTTGATTTGCACAACTTTGCTGCCCAGTTGCTGCATCTGTGAGCTGCTGAAACCTGGGGTTTTGGACTAGCAAAGAAATCTGCCCTGTTTCTGCAGTTTTGGAACAACATCAGAGGACAAAAATTTTCTGCCCAGTTTCAACTGTTTTTGGTGCTTCAGCTACTGCACAGTTTGAGCTGAATTTCTGCCCTGTTCAGCTGCAATTTTCTGGATAGTTTGGACAGAAATTTCTGCACTATTATTTCTCCATAGTTTGAGCTGGTTTTCTGCACAATTTGAACTGAACAGGTCTGCTGAAATTTGCACAGTATTCTACACAGTTTCTCCACCAATTCGAGCTGCTGAAATTTGCAGCTTGGGACATCATTTCAGCTAGGAAATCAGTAGCATTGGGGCAGTGTTTGAGAGCAAATTTCTGCCCTGTTTCTCCCCTGATTGAGCTGCTGAAAATCTGCAGTTTTGGACAAGAGTTTGAGCTGAGGATTTAGGTGCTTAGGAAGGGATTTGAAGCTGGAAAATTGAAGTTTCGAGAAAGGAAATCCAGCAAATTGCAACAAGTCCAGAGAGGAGTTCAGAAGTTCAGAAATTGTTCTGTCTTGTTTTCTCTTTTCTTTCCCGTTAATCTTTTCTTCTTGTTTGTTAATTCTCAACTCTCAACTAGATTAACTTGATATAAGTTCATATTGAGTTTAATTCTAGTTTCTTTGTGTGCTTAACTTTCTTTCGTGCCGATTGTTTCGTGCTTTTGTATTTTAATTTCGCTGTGAATTGCTTGGTTCAAGTCCGTTTGCTTTTAATTGTCCGTCCTTGTGAATACACAACTTTCACTCCACCCCGAAGACGGTTGGAACTTGTTGTGAAACCTTGGAACTTAAGTTTGCTAGCAATTTTGACATTCACTACTTGAGCGGGAAAAGGCAAGAGCGAATAGGACTTTGAGCACGCAAGAGCCAATTGGTGCAAACTGTGATACACGAGGGTTGAGCGACATCAAGTGAGTTGGTGAGGACTTTTACTACTAACTTGTTTGCTCATTTTGTAGGTATCATAGAGTACGGACAAACTTCTACTCCTAATTGTGATCCACGGAGTGAGACTCCGATGCATGATGTTGTTTCTATGCTTTATGACATAAGCGAGAAGGTTACCAACTCAAGTGAGAAGGTTACCAATATTAGCATACGGCAACACCAAACGGATGCAATGTTGAATTCTGTGATAGAGGAATCTCACTTGAGGCAACAAGGAAGGGAGCGTAGTATGACGCTTACTAATTCCTCTACTATACCCTCTCCTTCACAAGTGCGAGAAATGCTTCAAAGGGAAAAATTGCAACACCACCAACCCAACCAAATACCACAAAACTTACCAAGGCGACCACAATCACCAAAGGGACCTTATTTTCCTCCACCAAACTACCGACCACCTATCCCCTACCAACCTCCAACCACACATCCCCTACCACAAGTACCTCAACTTCAACCTTATCACACTCCGCCACAAGTTTACTCTTCACCACCACAACGCCACCAAGGTTACTTTCCACCACCCCAAGTGTCCTACCCACACGTACACCAACCACTATTTAGACCTCAAGAACACATACCCATAATACCACCACCCCAAATGACCCAACCTCGACCACCAATGAATATACCTCTACAACATCTACCTCAAGTTCCACCAAGGAGGGACAATCCCCCTCCCCCACCACACATACCACCTCAAGAGCCTCGGTTGATGAACAACCCACTTTTTCAACATGCTCAAGAGGACAACTTGAATGAGTTGGCCGATGTCCATCAAGTTTTCCATGATGAATATAGGGGAGATGGAGTATACCAAAGGGGAAGATCCCACGTGAGAGGACGAGAAAGAGGAAGATGTCGAGTGAGAGGAAGAGGTAAAGGGCATGGTCACCGGTTTGTACAAGAGTAATATGGGGATATCAACCATTTTGACGAGGGTGACCCACTAGAGGCCCAACCTTATCCTAGAGATCCTAGAGGAGGTCTAGACGATGATGAAAGGGTTCTACAAGTTCCCAAACTAGTTCTTCTACCTCTCAAAGGAACTAGTGACCTGGGAGAGTATCTTGAATGGTTACTCAAAGTAGAGAGGCACTTTGACATCTACAACATAAGTGATGCTAAAAAGGTGAAGTATGCCATTACTCAATTTGAAGGGAGTGCTTCATCATGGTGGGAAAAGGAGTTGAGGAGAAGGGCTAGACACAATGAACCTCCAATAACTAATTGGAGAGCTTTAAAGAATGCTTTGAGGGCAAGATATGTGCCCGATTACTATCAACATGAGTTGCTCAAGAAACTTCATACTTCCTACCAAGGGAGCAAGAGTGTTGAGGAGTACTATGAAGAGATGGAGACTACAAGATTGAGGTGTGATGTTGATGATGATGACGAAGTTGTCATCACTAGATTTTTGGCGGGTCTTCACAAGGAAATTGGTGAGGCTTTGGAGCTTCACAAGTTTGAAAGATTGGAAGATGCTTACTTGATGGCCTTGAAGGTAGAAAGGCATAAAGAAAACAAAAGCTACAAGTCAAAGGCTACAACTTGGAACAAGAATGATAAGCCTTGGAAATCCACAAACAATTGGGAGAAATCCAAAGATTCCAAGTATGGTCCCAAGGTTCAAGTGGACAAAAACAAGCTAAAAGTGAAAACTAAAGGGGCTTCCAATGTTCAAACCAAGTCCCTTATCAATTTGAGATGCCTTAAATGTCAAGGACTTGGTCACTACATGAAAGATTGTCCAAATAGAAGAACAATCATTACCATGGATGATGGAAGCTATAGAACCAAAGCTAGTGACCAAGAGCATAGAGATAGTGAACATGAAACAAGTGATGAAGAATTAGAAGAACAAGAAGATGATGGGCCGAGATCTTACTTGGTAACAAGAAAAGTTTTGGCTGTAGCTAGAGAAGATCAAGATCAAAGGGAGAATCTTTTTCATGGAAGATGCAAGATTTTGGGAAACCTTTGCTCTCTCATCATTGATAGCGGAAGTTGTGCTAATGTAATAAGTTCCTCTTTGCTTGAACAAATGAATTTGCCATCAAAGAAGCATCCCTCACCTTATAGACTACAATGGCTACATGAGTGTGGAGACCTTCGAGTCACCAAAATGTGCTCATAAAATTCAAAATAGGGAGATATGAAGATGAGTTTTGGTGTGATGTTGTTCCTATGCAAGCTTGTCATCTACTTTTGGGGCGACCTTGGCAATATGATAGGTATGCAAAGCATGATGGGAGAACAAACAAGTATTCACTTATCAAGGATGGCCAAAGGTTTACTCTCTGTCCCTTAACTCCGTTTCAAGTAAGTGAGGATTACAAGATAATGAGGGAGTTGAGACAAAAGGTGAAGAGTGACCAAAAGAAGGAGAAGAGTAATGAGTGTAAGGCTCCAAGAGAAGACAAAAATGAAAAAGAGACGGAAAAAGGGGTAAAGCTTCAATCTTTACAAGGTAAAAGTGCGAATGAAGTGTGAAAAAGGAGAAGTGGTACCGAGACCGCGGGTGAGCTTCCTTGCAAACAACTACAAGCCTCTAAGGGAAGTTGCTCATGAACCAACTATCTTTCTTGTTATGCATAAAGATTGTTTGATTGCTAATGATACTCTCTCTACCTTACCTAGTTCCATTTCTTCTCTTTTGCAAGATTTTGAAGATGTCTTTCCGGATGAGCTACCAAAGGAGCTTCCCCCACTTAGAGGCATTGAGCATCAAATTGACTTTGTGCCCGGATCTCAACTTCCCAACCAAGCCGCCTATAGGAGCAATTCCGAAGCTACAAAGGAACTTCAGCAAGTGGAAGAGCTTCTAGAGATGGGATTTGTTCGTGAAAGTTTGAGCCCATGTGCGGTCCCGGTCATTCTAGTGCCAAAGAAGGATGGGAGTTGGAGGATGTGTGTTGATTGTAGAGCCATCAACAAATCCACGGTAAAGTATCGTCATCCTATCCCTAGGTTAAATGATCTTCTTGATGAGTTGAGTGGTTCTCAAATCTTTTCTAAAATTGACTTGCGAAGTGGCTATCACCAAATACGAATGAAACCCGGTGATGAATGAAAAACAGCCTTCAAGACCAAGTTTGGTTTATATGAGCGGATGGTTATGTCATTCGGCTTCTCTAATGCTCCTAATACTTTCATGCGTTTGATGAATCATGTCATGAAGCCTTTCATAGGCAAGTTTGTTGTGGTTTATTTTGATGACATTCTAGTATACTCTAAAACACTTGAGGAGCATGTAGAACACCTTCATTATATTTTTTATGCTCTTAGGCGAGAAAGATTATTTGCTAATTTGAAAAAGTACAATTTTTGTGTTGATAAAGTTGTCTTTCTTGGCTTTGTTGTTAGTGCTCAAGGTGTTGAGGTTGATGAATCTAAGGTAGAGGCAATTAGGAATTGGCCTAGGCCTAAGTCCACCGGGGATGTTAGGAGTTTTCATGTTTTAGCGGGTTTTTATAGAAGATTTGTAAAAGGGTTTAGTACTATTGCCGCACCTTTGACCCAAATTATCAAGAAAGATGAGAGTTCTCTTTGGGGTCTTGAACAAGAGGAGGCTTTTAATGCCTTGAAAGAAGCTTTGAGTAGTGCGCCACTCTTACAATTGCCAAACTTTGATAAGACCTTTGAGTGTGATGCAAGCCAAGTAGGCATTAGAGCGGTTCTTATGCAAGATGGAAAGCCATTAGCCTATTTTAGTGAAAAACTTAAGGGAGCTTGTTTAAAGTACTCTAACTATGATAGGGAGTTGTATGCCTTAGTGAGAGCCATAGCTACTTGGAGACACTACCTTTGGCATAGGGAGTTTGTTGTTAAAACCGATCATGATGCTTTGAAGCACCTTAGAAGCCAAGGTAAGTTGGGGAATAGACATGCTAAATGGTTGGAATTTTTAGAGCAATTTCCTTATGTGGTCCATTATAAGAAAGGCAAAGAGAATGTAGTAGCGGATGCACTTTCTAGGAGATATGCCTTATTGAGTACTTTGCTTGTAAGTTGATAGGATTTGAGTGCTTGAAGGATCTTTATCCTAGTGATGT